ATGAAAATAAAGAATTGGGATTTTATCACCACCCGAGAAAAGTTTGTTGGGGGGGTCAATGGGTCAGGAAGCGCCGGGAGCTGGATGGGGGGGTGGGGAATTCTGGGAGTTGAAGTCCACACATCTTAAACTTGTTGAGGTTGAGAAACACTGCACTGTACATTTACATTACAGTCCAAGGAACCTAGATACTAGCAAGTCTGTCTATGAAAGACATAATGAAGTAAGTATTGGGCATGTTTTGGAGTGCCAATCTCTCAAAGATGTATTCTTCCATCACCAAAATACACAGAAGATTAGAGCCTCCGAGAGCTGCACTATACTGGAGGACATCTCTCTGGGTGTTCATGTGGTTCCTTGCCTCTCCTGTTTTGTTTTTTTTAAATTAGACTTTTTATTATTAATCATACAGTAACTGGGAAACTAGTATGCTTCCAAAAAAAAAAAAAAAGTTAGCCTCCAGCTCCATCCTTCTTTCTGTTAGGGCTGGGCAACAATCCAGATTCAAAGAGGAAAACAGCTGGGTGCACACCTCCTCCCTATCAGCACTGCCTTAAATCAACCATGTCTTTACGGCATTGCTCGGTGTGACATTTGCACTCCTGCACGCTTTGAAGTGCACTCTCCCCTTCGGATCTGGACGGCTGCTCAGCCCCATTCGAAATCCTCTCCCCCAGAGAGGCTGTGAGACCCCCACACGGGGGGGGGGATGTAACGCCGGGCCCCCTAAAACCCCTGTGGGAGACCACTAGGAACGAGGTTGTAAGCTTCCCTTCCCCTTTATGCCATTCGGCAGAGGACAAAAGCAGCCAAACCAATCTTTCAGGCACATGAGACCGGCTGCGGGGCTCTGGATGCGCAGCACGGCATATACAGCAGTTATGCTGAGCGCAGATCGTTTTTCAGACCTCGCCTGTGGCTCTTCTTACTTACTTCGCCTATGGCAGTGTTTCTCAACCTTGGCCCCTTTAAGCTGGGTGGACTCCAACTCCCAGAATTCCCCAGCCAGCCATGCTGGCT